TGAATACATGCTCCATCACTAAGCTCCCCTGCTAGTCCTGAGATACTTTAAAGATCCTAGAAGTAATACAAGTCATTGCACAAAGCGTAGACGATGTCAGAAAGCACAGGCAGAAAGAAAGTAAAACTGCTTATGACCAGGAAGAAGCCACTGTGGCCGTGTTGGGGGCAGTATTTCCAGGAAGATGATATTTGCATTCATGGTTGTCCTTTATGTGGAGGTTTCCTGCTATGTCACTGAGCGGGCAGTGCTGTCACTCAGTTCAGCCCATAGCTTAACTGTTTGCTGAGGAACTTCCTTGTGCTGGGGTCCCTGATGGATATGCCCTAGAACTGGTCACTTACCCTTTATCTGATCTGTACTTCAGCCACTCATTAAAGGAGGGTTGATTCCTAGCAATACTGGAGAATTGCTTGGAAGTCCAAATAATCCAAGATCTGTGAAGACTTTGTGTTAGGTATTCAGCAAATAAGGAGTCAAAGAAGATAACATGGGTTTAATTAATTCATCTATAGCTGTCTGTGTTCCCTAAAGTACTTGGAGTAAGCCCATCCTCCCTGGGAATAAGCGTGCTATTGTGGAAAGGGGCCCTAGAATGGCCACTGGCTTAAAAGTCCTACTACCCAGTTCTGGGACCTTTGGATGTGCTGTGTAAATGCTCCCACTGAGCCATATCTCCAGTCCAAGGGGTCCCGATCCTTGTGCAGTGCTAGGGGTCTGGCAGGGGCCAGGAGAAAACAGGATTGACCCAACAGTCACTATTAGCCAGCACATGGTCCTATCTTAACACTGAGGGAGACTTAAGCCACAGCTTAAGACTATTTTCAACCTCTCCCTAAAAGCATAGCCTGAGAGTTGAAAGGAATAATGTAAGTAGGGATTGTTCCAGAAAGTTCAGACCATACTGGCATCATACTCCAGCCTTCTTGGAGTACAAATGTAGACTCGTGTAGACTCTGATCTCTATCGTGGAGCAGCTTTGATTCCAAGGCTAAATTCTCCCTAAACTAAGAACAGTGTTTTCTGTTAACTCGAGGCACAGTGGGTAGATGGTATTACTCAGGAACAGTGTTTTCTGCTGTTAACTCGAGGCACGGTGGGTAGATGGTATTACTCAGGAACAGTGTTTTCTGTTAACTCGAGGCACGGTGGGTAGGTAGGTGGTATGCTGAGGCAGGAAGGACTTCCCAGGGATGGGAGTAGATGCTGGCCAGAGGCTAGCGGGAAGTGCAACTCACCTGACAAATGACAGAGCTGCACCAATCAGGTAAGACTGGTCAGTCTAGAGAATTTCTGACAGGGGCCTCATTCTGAACACCACAAGGGAGAGTCTCATTCATTCATTCAGTACCTAATACGTGCCATGCCTAGCATAGAGCCTAGCATAGAGTTTCAGAAATGCATGGTCCCTGCCCATAGGAGTGCAGAACCTAGCTCCTTGGGGGTGGGGAATGTCTTTGCAATTGATGCTACCTTCCCCCTCACTCAAAAACCTAGGTCAGGACTCAATTCTGACTCTGCCAATGGGCCCATGGCTTTCCCAGGTAGCCCTTCAAGCTCTGGCTGGTCCTTGCAGTGGCCTCTTCTCCATCGCTTCTGGGAGGGCACTCCAGCTGGCTACTCCACCCACCACTTTACTCCCCTTCCCCGCCCTCTTCTTTCGTGCTTTATCTTCCCTTCTGCGCTCTTCTCCCTTCTCTCCTCTTCCTAGTCTCCCATCTCACCCCCTTCTAGCTCCCGACTGCCTTCCAAAGCCGGACACCCAGTGGTGACACCAGGTTCCATCCTTCTTCCAAGCGTCTTCACCCCATCCAATACCTCCTGGCTTTGGGTACGGAAGGTCTCCTCCTTTCCCCCCTGTCCTTCTGTCCCTCCCCTGTTTCTCTTTCTTCTTGCAGAAGCATCTCCTCCTTGCACCTTCCAGGCCCATGGTCCCTCCCTCGTCTTTTCCCTGCTTCTGCCAGCCTTAGCTCCTCCCTCTCCCTTCTTTCCCAAAGGAAGGGCATCACCCCTTCACAGAGCATGCCGGTGACAGCCCAGGCCTGTGGCTGAACTGCAGGGACATATCCCTGTCTCCCCACCCTCGGGTATGCTCACTGTCTTCTCCCTGCCCTGTAGCTCACTTATCTGAACCCTCCCCTGACACGAGTCCCTCCATCACTCTCCTTCACTGCTCATCAAAACCCCGCCTTTCCGGATGAAGGTGCTTCTTCGAGGCCTTTCTCGCCACGTGCTGACTCCTTCCAGACTCCTCCAGCCTGAGTTCTCTGCCGGCTTTGTCCTGCTGCTGCAGCCATGAGCACTTTCTTGCTTCCAGCCTCCCCTGCTCCTTCTCCTCTCTCCTTCTCCCCTGATCCTTCTCCTTTCTCCACCTCCCAGTGCCTCCTCTGCCAGTAGCCGGCTTCCTTCTCCTTCCCTTCCAGCCCTCCCCAGCTTTCTGTTGCTGCCTCTGTAACCTGTCTTGCCACCAGGGCCAGTGTGAACAAAAAAATAAATAAATAAACGGTCAGTGAGTGGAGGGAGCAGCAATAACCCCTAAAACAGTACTATCAGTGGAACATGATTGATCAATTGAATTCCATAGCGGCTGAAAAATGTGGGATTAAGTAGTGTATTATACGCACAATGAGTTGAGGCATGATGTTCATTTCAAGTTCATTTCGCCGGCCTCTGCCACCAGATCAGGCAATCAATAGGGGCAGCAGATATCATATATCACCTCTCTGCGGGCTGGGGAGAGAGCACCATAATCTCTCGCAAATTTAGAGTGACAGATTTGTCAAGATCTGAAGGGCCCCTGAATAAATGAAGGCAAAGGGACTCCTCCAGCCAGTGACCTGAGGACAAAGCTTTAGTTCAGCTCACACACACACACACACACACACACACACACACACACACACACCCTCTCAGTCACAGGGTGAGGCAAGCCACACACAGGCATGTACACAGATCCACACCGAGGCATGTTTAGTTCAACACACACACACACACACACACACACACACACACACACACTTGAAGGCATGCTCACAGACAAATGTACCTTCTTCTCCCTAGGACCCGTTCGGTAGGAGCAATAAATACAAAGTCCCTCGAAGCTGCTCTCACTCGGCCTAGCAGCAGGGCTTCCCCCAGCAGGAGGACTGCAAGCAGAGGCGGTTAGGCACAGTGGAACATGGGGACAGGGACAGGAAGTGGAGGCAGCGAGCTCACAGGAGGACGGGGACATGGCCTCACTTTCCTTGTGTGCATGGGTTCTTTCAATAGAGATTCGTAGCATCATTCAAACTCATCCAGACCCATATTCACCCAGATGTTTATTACACACACATACACACACACACACACAGAGAGAGAGAGAGAGAGAGAGAGAGAGAGAGAGAGAGAACACTCACACAAAGAGAAAAATAAGCATACTGTATTTCAGCTCCCCTACAGGGTCACACATGGTTCCAGAACCTCTCTCTCTCTCTCTCTCTCTCTCTCTCTCTCTCTCTCTCTCTCTCTCTCTCTCTCTCTCTCTCTCTCTCTCTCTCTCTCTCTCTCTCTCTCTCTCTCACACACACACACACACACAAATACAACTACCAGGTCTTGCATCCACAGGAATACAAAAATACCACCAAGGCTGCCTCTACCCATCTTGGGCTCCCTTCTCCCCCTCTCATTCTCTGCCTCTCTCTGTCTCTCCATATTTTCTCTCTTCCCTCACCACACGCAAACTTACTTTTCTCCTGAAAAGTTTGGCGGGAAGATGGGAGGTCCTTTTGAAAAGTAGTGCCTTTTGCTCCATCTGGGAGGCCAGCAAGGGAGGATGGCTGTAGATTGAGGTTAATCAATATGTAATACTTTCTATGGTCTCCTAAATGATACTGTATGATGTTACTGTATATAATGCAATATTGATTATATCATATCATATAATCACCTATAAACTGATATATATAGCGGTCCCAGACAAACACCCTGAACCCTAAAGTACAGGCTGGCCCCAAGCCCAAGGCTCCCTAGCTTGTCATGGGCTGTGGGGAATCTAAGGGATGGCGGGCCGGGGTTAGAAGGCCAGTGCAGTTACTAAGTGAGGGCTCAAAGGGGCTGTAGGACAAGCTGTTTGTCCTCAGTGTGCTCTAAAAGCTCCAAGTGACCAAACACTGGAAGGCAGGGACAAACGGGGCAGTGAGCAGCCGAGGTGGATCCCCACTTGGAGACCAGACTGCCTTCCGGCAAGAAACACACTCTAGCCCTAAATCCACAGGGCAGGTCTTGACTCCTGGTGGAAATCCGTTGTAAGAACCAGGCATCCAGGGAGCTGGCTTCCCCTGAGGTGTGAGCCAGAGCCCTCCAGGGGAGACTGGTGGCCAGGCCACAGCAGTTTTTATGCTCTCTGGAGTCTGTCCAGGGGTGTCCAAGCGGCATGTGACTCCCTTTGCTCCTGCTCTGTCTCCAGCCCAGCCAGTATACCTCAGCTTTCCTCTCAGAGGCCCTCCTCCTCGGGAGTAGTTAATTACTTTACCCACACTCTGTGTTATACTTAGCTTCAGAGATTTGATGATTTTCAACCCCTGGAATCCGTGGAACTGAAATTTATCTGCACCCAGTTCAATTCTCCACAGTAACGCCTGTCTGAGAGCCCAACCCCTCGCCCAGATGGCTCAGGTTGGGGATGGGTGGAGGCCCCGGGAAAGGAAAGCCTTGGAAACAGCTTTGTGGAGCCCCTGACTCCACCTCTGCCCACCCTGCAATGGCCTCCCTTCTTTTCCTCCCCTCAGCTCTTGCAGGCTCTGGCTTCCTCAGCCAGGTCTCTGAGGAAGGGGCAGCCTCATGGGCCTGTAGGCCTAGGCCTCCAGCCCCCTCTAGCTTATGGACTGGGAGTAAGGGACCTTAGCAGGGGCTCAGGGGCCCAGGGTCCAGAGCCAAGTGCACAATCATTTCCCACTGCATGCTGCTTGTTTCTGATGGCCTGGTGCTCATGCCTTAAGTATCTATGTGTTCCACAGATGTGTCCGAGGGCTCTGTCCCCAACGGAGACTCCCAGAGTGGTGTGGACAGTTTACGGAAGCATCTGCGGGCCGACACCTTCACCCAGCAGCAGCTGGAAGCTTTGGATCGAGTCTTCGAGCGTCCTTCCTACCCTGACGTCTTCCAAGCATCAGAGCACATCAAATCGGAACAGGTGAGAAGGAAGCTTCCTGCTCACCCAGCAGGGCGCGTGCTCATATGGCTACCGTGTGCGCACTATGTGAGCATGACAGCACAGGCCACCGTGTGCGCGCTATGTGAGCATGACAGCACAGGCCACTATGACGGCATGATTAAGAGAAGTAATGTCCGTATATCGTCACTGAAGATGATGAGATCTGGTGGAAGGATACATGTTATCTCTATTCAGGGTTCCCCATTCCTTATGAAGGGCAATGCTGGCCATCCCTCAGTTCCCCGCCCTAGCTCTGCATTCTGTGATCCTGGTACGAGAAAGACAGAAATTCCCTCTTGCCGTGACCTTTGCCCTGCCCCCACACGGCCCTACAGAAGGTCTATGAAGATCCTCCTGTCCTGTGTCAGAAGGAAAGCCACCTGCACCTGCCTCCTTCTCCTTGATTCATCCTTCGACTGTGAGCCCAGGCCAGCCAACAGCTGTCTCAGTCACCCACAATGCTTATGGAAATAGAAGAGCACAGGGCACACAACATAGGCTGACACATAGTGACGTCAGCAAAACACAGCACTCTGAAACATATCCCCAACGACCTCACACTTCAGGGCTAGCAGGGTGGCTCAGTGGGTATTGGCACTTGCCACCCAACACTGTGAGCCTGACAGCCTGGATTTGGGCCCCAGAACCCATGTAGATGTGGGAGAGTAGAAATGACTCCACAGAGCTGTGCTCTGACTCTCACATGTGTGCCAGGGTGTGACCTACTCCCCACACCGTGATTTTTATTTTAGTAATTTTCCCATTTCCACTATCGTTCCCCCACTCTTCCTGCCTCACACAGCACTCACTCCCTGTGTAACCCAGCAGTCCTGCAGAGCCAGAAATGCACACGCTTCCCTGGACGCCCCTTCAACAACCCTCTAGCTCATGCCTCCACCCACACATCAGAGCAGCTCCCCAACCAGCCTACATATATGGCCCAGGTCAGGCCTCCAACTGCAGCACAACACAGCCTGCTGTGCACACACGCACACACACACACACACACACACACACACGCACACGCTTGTATGCTCACACACAGGCGCACACACATGTACACCGGCACAGCCCCTCAGGCTCCGCTCAGCACAGTTTCACTCCAGGACTCCAGCAGCTCCCAGCCTCTCTCTCTCGACTTTCTCCCCGCCCGTCCTTTTATCCCATAAGCTGTTTGTCTTCATAAAACAAAAATCAAAAGTCTTTTTAAGGTGCCCTGAGCCATAAACCAACAAAGGAGGAGCTGGCCGAGGCGGGCGGCTCGGTGCACCCTCCCCAAGTCCCCGGCTGTATTACAATGAATAACCTTTATTTACTTTCATTAGACTATTAAACACCAGCACAGTCATTTTTCCCCCTGAAACTCGGAGCAGGGCCCATAAAGCAAATCCGAAGCCTAATTGAGTTCATTTTAATTTCTCTCCGATCACAGCGAATTACTCTGGTGATAAATCAGGGGGCAGCCTCACCCCCAGTAGAAGGCCTAATTTGCAGCTAATTACAAAACTGATTTCTACAGGAAGATCAATACGAGAAGGAATTGGAAATGACGAGGCAATCCCGTCCAGCCAGGGAGGGGAGAGGGTCCTCTGGGGGGGCCAGGAAGCGGAAGGAAAAAAAACGGACCCGAAAGAGCAGAAAATCAGTTTTAATTTAACGTAATATTAATCAGAGCAACTTTTCCTGCTTTGTGTGGCTCCTAGTCTGCCCAGCTCCAGGGTCTGGCTTGGTGGTGGCTGCAATAAAAAGGCAATTACCCAAGCGTTTCGGGCAGGACACCCTTTCAGACTCGATGGCTGGCCCCCTCCCACCCTTCTGTTAGCCATGTGGACTCCCCCCTCCCCAATTTCATACCCCAGTGCACAGGCAGAGAGCAAGGGGCCCATGGGGCCGTCTTTGTTTGTTTTTTAAAAAGGGGCGCCCATACCCCATCAGCCAACCCAGCAGTGCCAGGTTGGAGGCCCCACCAGGCCCTTCCCCCAACAACCACCTCAGCCATGTGTCAGGGGCCATCTCTGCTCCCCAAGGCTCTGACTCAGAGGAACCTGAGCACCCCATACTTCTCAGCAAGGGGTCCTTACTGCTGTACTTCCTCCTGGAGCTCCTTAGGCAAACGATGATGGAGTATCTCCAGGGGTGCTGGGAAGTCCACCCCCCAACCCCCCCACCCCCGTGTACAGACCACACCTCCCTCACATGTCAGGTGCACCGCCACTCTCTCCAAACTCTCCCGCCCCGCCCAGCGAGCCCCTCCCCATCTCCCTGCCCCACCCAGCCATCTCCTTCTACCCCATCTGGGAGGGCTCTGGGGTCCTCCTCTCCATCTGCACACCGAATCTTTCCATGTATACGCATCAATAGAGAGCTGTCACTTTTCTCTCTCCTCCCAGGGGAATGAATACTCTCTCCCGGCCCTGACCCCGGGGCTTGATGAAGTCAAGTCCGGTCTATCTGCATCTACCAACCCCGAGCTGGGCAGCAATGTGTCAGGCACACAGACCTACCCCGTCGTGACTGGTAAGGGGGCTTTCAGGAGGGTGGGGCGCTGCTTTCGGTGGGGTGCCTCCGATCTAAGCCATCTGGGGCCCAGTGTGACAAGCGGGCCCCCTGCCATGGTGTCTGCAGAGGGAGAGAGAGGAAGCGAGAGAGAGCCTTCCTGAGCAGATGTGTGTGACGTAGGCATGAAATACTGTGGTCAGGGTTCTCGCTTCGCCCTGAGAATGTGGGGTCTGGAGGCCTGCTGCCTGCGGTCTTGCTTCCTTTCCTCGAGCTGTCCAGACTTCCCAGCCCCTGGTTAGAACGTGTGCAGAAGAACGTCAGGGCAAACCGGCCAGCTGAGGAAAGTGACTCAGAGGTTCCCAGTCTCTAGCCTGCACACTTCTGTGTCCCCAACGGTGCTGAGGGGCTTCGTTCCCCTCTCCAGGCAGCTTGAGCAGCCATGCCCTGGGACCTGAGGGTGTAGCGGCAGCCTCGTAGAGTGGAACACCTTATTGCAGCCTTTCCCCCACTTCCTGGAGAAAGCCACTGAGAGGAAAGTTGGACTCCAAGGCTGGGGGAGGTCAAAAACAGGGCAGAGGCATGGCGGCCAAGCGTCCCGGGGATGAGAGCCGCAGAGGCACTGGAGTGGCCATGGAGGGCTAGTAGATGATGCTTCAGATGCCACCTCCAGAAGGGTTTCCGGGCCAGGAGAGTGCTCCAGGAAGAGAGACACACATTGAAGGGTTATTAAAATTCACCTAATTATTCTGGAGGCACTAAAGCCAATGTGCCGTTCGTACCTTGGGAGACAGGATGATCCAGAAGGGTCTCGGTGGGGACTGGGAGACACTGAGGCATTACCTGTGAGTGAGCTGAGACCGCTTGGCGACAGGACAGCAAGGCTGTAGGCAGCCAGAATCACAGCCAGAGGTAAAGAGGGAGCAGGCATGGACCCTGCCATAGGACAGGGTTCTGTGGTGACTTGTACTGGTGACTTGGTAACTTCCTGTGGCTAGGAGCACAGCTCAGGCTGAGGTGGGCTCCAAGCCCCCTCCAGGGGGCTCCAGAGAGCCCTACCTCTCCCATGCTCTCCTGAAGTGTGTCCAGCAAAACCAGAGTTGTAGTCTTCGGCTAGGAATCCAAAGACTGAGTCTATGAAGTGGTCCTGGGCTGACCAGGCCTTCAGGAGTGATGTCCCCACTGAATCAGGATGCAGCTCAGATCTGTAGTCCTCAATCTTCCTAACGCCGTGACCCCCTCATGCCTGTGACTTTCCTCATGCTGTGGTGACTCCCACACACAACTGTAAAAGTGTTTCCTTGCTACTTCGTAACTGTAATTTTGCTGCTGTTATGAATCATAACGTAAATATCTGATACCCAAGATATCTGATATGCGACCCCAGAGGGGTCATTGCCCACATGGCTTAGATCAATGGGCCTGGATATTAGTTCTCCGATCTTCCGACCCAAGCCAGGGCATCTTTCCAGTGCGGTGGCCGCTCCTCAGAAGTACTGGACTTTTCTCCCTCGTCAGTGCAGTGGTCCAGAAGGCAGGAACTTCCTGGGGATGGACATGTGGCTCTTCCGGGCAGGACTCCTGCTGCAGGGGACACTGGGGGGCTAATGTAGAAAAACGCCTCCACCTTGAGCTGCCTCCGCCAGTCTCCCCCCCATGGCCCTGGAACGGTCCCAGCTCAGCCTGGGAACATCTTAGGCTGATCCATCTGGATCCAAGTGTGAGAAAAGTTCATTTCAGACCCAGCTTGACATTCCCAGGTGGCAAGTTAGCACTAACATCTCAATCTGTATGCGACATTTCAATCAAGCGAGGAGTAACAAAAGCAAAGCCATTAACATTCGGAGATGTTCACCAGTGGTAATGACGGGGAAACTCGCTCAGAAACTGGAAATTACCAAAAAAGAGCGGAGTGTGGAGGGGGTGGGGCGTGTGGGGGCAGGGAGCGATTTTTCCACACTTAGACCCAGATCCAATGTTTGGATTAATAGTGCCATTACTGGAGAAAGGGCTGCAGATTATGCTCATTCTTAAAATGTTTTTGCTGGCAATTAAACGGCTGCAACTATTGATCTTTGTTGATTTTATGTCCTCCTAATTTGCATAATCTATTAAAGATGAATGATTCATGATGTGTTTATTATGGGGACAAACAGAATTTGCTGGAGGTACTGTCAAGGTGAGAAACGGGTATGGGCCAGAGACTCACGGGCCATCGTGGGAACAGGCCTAGCTTGCTGGCTTTGGGGCCAGGACTTGATAGGAAGCAATAAGCAGTGTGGCAAGGACAGGCAGGACAAACGGACTTTTGAGTGAGTTCTAGAGAGATGTTGACATCTGTGAGAACTAGGCTTCAAGCACGCTGGGGAGGTGACAAGTGACTCGGTGTATTTGCAGAAATTCCTCTCTAAAATCCCCCTCCCCACAGAGTCTCTCTATGTAGCCCAGGCTGGCCTTTAACCCACCACTTCCCTTAAAGAGAGTGAGCCCACTGCACCTGGCTCACAAACACTCTGATTTCGTTTGGGAATAGTAAGGGAACCCAGTAGTAGGTGGGCAATTGTGGCCTGACGAGTACTAACTCGGAGAGCTACAAGGTCGTGTTGTGCTTATAGCCTTGGATGTGTCAAGGCATTCCACAAGTCCCAGGGTACCGGTACCGGTTCACTTTCCTCCCTAAGAAGAGGCAGACCCTAAGAAATGGCTTTTAAGGAAGCTGCTGGGAAGGCCTTGGCCCAACCTGAAAAGCCAGACCTTATTGGTATTCCTGCCACCTCCTGGCACTAGAGGCTGATTTCAAACTTCACCAGCCACTTGATACAGCTGTTCCACAAGGTCAGGACTGAGAGGAGACAGGAGCCTGGACTATTGTGTGGAGGGGAGAGTGGGAGCCAGTGGGCCAGGACACAGCTAATCACATCACAGGCAAGGGTGGCTGCCGCCACAAGCTAGGACTCAGCCCGATAGCCTCCCTACCCAGCTTCCAGCAGGGAACCAAGGCAAGACACCATTTCTCAGGGTAGCGTTTGCAAGTTCTGCCGAGATTTTAATTTCACTGCATCACAACTCAGCAAGCTGCCAAGTCAAGCTGGTTATTTAAATTTATCACCCATTCTCCCCTCTGCTGCTGGGTTGCCCTAGCTTGCTGCGTCTCTTTGCTCCAGCCCACTGCTCCAGGCTGCCGGTCTGGAACAGAGCCGAGTCTCAACTAAGTGATAAGGAAAATGGGACCCACTAAATGGGACAGTGGGCCAGGGGCACTGTGGCCTCAGGCTTCTTCAGGGCAGTTTTTTGGAGCTGCCTTCAACCACCTTCTTATCCTCTTCAGCAGGGGAGCAGCCTTTAACCCTTAAGTGTTCCCCAACCCTGTCACCCAGGACTCTACACTCATGTGCTATATCCCGTCACCATTAGCAACAAGAGCTCCTCTTCCCCGTAGCTTTGTCTCTGGCCTTGGCCCAGGCTGCAGCAGTAGGGTGCCTGCAGAGACCCTGAAAGTGATGTTAATCTGAGAGGAGAAGATGAAAACGAGTTCTAGGATGCTCATAGTCACTAGGGGTGCTTCGGAGCAGGCGACAGTGCCTTGACTTGGGCCAAATCTGTTCTACAGCACAGCAAGCTTCCCTCCTGGGTCTGTGCAGTCTGCAATGACGCTGAAGGGAGCTGGTGCCAGCACAGCCCCAACGCTTCCCAGAGAAGCCTGTCCCCAAGCAGCTGAGTGCGGCGGGCTTCACTGGCCTCGCGTGGGCCAAGCACTGGGCGAACCTTGTCCAAGTGTAGTTCTCACCCTTGGTACAGTCAAAGGTATGAGAGGAATGGCGCTGGCGCTCAGAAACAAGGCAGGCTAAGCTTAGCAAAACAGAGCTGGGTAAACTGTAACAGCAGAGTAGTTAATACTCAGCCGCACCTCGCACGAGAGCCAGAAACAGAGGAAAGTCAGAGTCAGGGCAGGAAGTTTGACACTGTGGCTTTCACACGGAGGTAAACCCTAGTTCGGGGATGTTGAATATAACGTACCAGACAGAAGGTGTGAGAAACAGAGACAGGACAAGGACAGCACTGTCCAGGCTCTTTCTTCTCTATGACCCAGGGAAACAAAGGAGAGAGGCGCATGTCATCTTGAGAAATGGAGGCACAAAAACCCATATGCAGGCCTAAGTCCAAGTTCATGCCATAAGTAGTTGCGGGAACCCCAAGCCAAGTACTCACACTGAATTTTGTGGGGTCAATAGTTCACTCTGGTGCCAGCAGGAACGGTATGAAACCTTCTCTTTAAGATAGCCCATGATCCAAGATGCAAAGGATTCCCATTGAGAAAAAAGCAAGCAAAAGCCCACCATAGATGATGAGCTCACCATATAAAATTCCCACACTTCATGTGACTATGAACCACCATCAAAGGGAAAGCTAGCAGAAGCGATACAGAGGGCCATTGCCATCCCTAAGAGCTAGCTCTCATGGAATATCCCAAAGTGAAGATCAATTAAGGAAAAGGTCGAAGAGAAAGACTAGCTTTTTCCTTAGCCCAGATCCAGACCCCTTCCCCTGGTGCGAAGTCAACTGTCAGACAATGGAGATCCAAAAGGCCAGTGAGTGAAGGGGACGAGGGTTGAGCCTATTCCTAGTTTATCCAAATTCAGAGTCTTCTCGGCAGAGTGTCGCTCTTTTTTCGGATAATACCATGAGAGATTTTAGGCACAGGACAGCGCTCTCCTCCCCTGTATGCTGCAAGGGAAGGTGAGCTAGACTCTGTTATCTTCCCAGCCCTGGTAGGAGGATGTATTTTTATTCAAGAGCTTTGTAGGAAGCTGTCACTCAGGTACAGGCAGGCCCTGTGGGTGCTACCCAAGAGTGGAGTGCACAAGTCAGACAGAGGAGATAGAAACCATCAACTTTGAACAGAAGCGAGGTTAGAGACCCAGAGCTAAAGAACATTCCTGGTGACCAGGGGAAGCAATGCTGGTGCAGAGTGCCAATGCAGCAGCTCGCACGTGTTGCCTGAATCCCCAGTGGACAGCAAAGTGGCCCTTTGGCAGATAGAGGTGTGGACTCTGGGAAACCTCCTTCTCTACACAGAGTCCTGAGCACCAACAGCCCCCCCTTTCCTGTAGTTAACAATCCCATCCAATGCAACTGCAACCCCCATAAAATAAACACATAGCCCTTGGCCAGCCCCTTAGGGTAAGAGAAGGCAATAAAGGCTCAGAAATGTTGCTGAAGGAGGCTGGGAGTCTCCCACTTTTGTCTGTTGGCTCAGA